CCATCTTCGATCCACTTTCTCTTCTTTTGGTAACGACATCTGCTGATTGTCTTTGCAGGCTTTCATTCAGGGAGTCCCATTCTTCTTGGGTTGGGGTTATGACCAAGCTAGGTCATGTGATCAAGCCAGGTCAAGCTGGCTTTCATTCAGGGTTTGGAATTTTGAGTGGAGTGATGCAGGGACAGAAAAAATCGGAGTGGGCATTGTGCTCAGTGATGGGTAGAGCCAAACCAATGCCTCTGGAGGGCCAGATGAAGGGTTTGGGTTTTATCCTAAATGCACAGGAAGGCTACAAAGACATTTTCGAGCACCAGAGGATACTTTGAGTAAAAACCAACATCTTAAAGGAAAAGCAACCCAGTAAACAATCCAATCCAATCAACAGTGTAAAGATCTCTGAATTGGTCATCTCGGTTTTGCTCTGAGCCACTTCCAGGACGCTGGGAATTTATAAGGTTCTTCTAAATCTCTTAGCTTCAGTTTCCTCATCTATGAAATGAGGCAGTGTGCAGTTGATCTCTCACATCCCTTCCTTCTCTGATGTTTCATGATCTATAGTGAAATCTTCTCAAATTGCACAAGGTGTCCACCATTAAGAAGTTTATAATAAAAGAGGAGAGAGAAATATCCAGCCTCTATAGTACCTGTTGTGTTCCATGGAGTTAGAGTGTTTAAAGTAGTTTATAAGCCCATTTCGCAAGCTCATTTTCCTGTTGGCTACAAAAGGATTTTATCCAGTACTCGGCTCAGGAGCCGTTCAATGAAGAGCTTTAAAAGAAGGCATTACTTAAAGTGTGACACTCTGCTAAACTGAGACATATTAACTCCAACTGAATGCTTCATGAGAGAAAACACTAGCGAGACTGCTGACTCTCGGCTGACTTTCACCAAGACCCTGCAATGGTTGAAATGCCTGTGTGTGATGTGTGTATCAGTTATCTCTTGCTATCAACACTTAATGGCTTAAAACAACCACCGTTTTATCTCTTACGACTCTTGGATTGGCTGGATCATTTTTGGCTAGTCTTTCCTGGGCTTACTTATGTGGCTGCATTCAGCTGGTGGGTTGGCTGGTGCTGCTACAGATGGGATGGCAAGCCTCTCTCTGTCTGGATATTTCATTTTTAAGGAAGTTGGACCAGGTTTCTTCACTTTCTTCACAGCCTTTCAAGAGGGCAAGAAGCAAGGCACAAGTGCTCACCGAACATCCCTGCTTTTGCCTTCTTTACCGATGACCCAGTGGCCAAAGGATGTCACATGGCCGAGCCCAGGGTTAATATGGGACGGGGCTGCACCAAGGGCATGGATAGGAGGTGTGATTCATTAAAGGTCATTAATGTAACAGGGTGTGAACTTTCCCTATTAGATATGCATTGCTAGTTATGCAACTTTAACTTACTGCACTTTCCCAAAGACACAATGTACATGTTATTACTAGTGTGAGGAAGCATTTGGAGTCACCTTATTAAGGGACTGAATCCTACCTCAAATGGCTCTGCTTGCCTCATAAAATTATTCATTAATTTTTAGCAGTGGCCTTGGAAAGTTATGTACATAATATTTAGAGGAAAAAGGCATTTACAATTATAATGAATTAAAGCAATCTATACTGCAGTATCACTGCCCCAATTTGGAACTTGAGGCTTGCTAATTTCATACTAGCATCATCTGTCTCCTCCCAATCGCTCTGCCTTAGTATGTGCATGCCTGACATGCACTCGATCTCAAATTCCTTCGAGGGCAGGAATCCTACCTCACACATGTTTGTTTCCCTCACGCTTCCAGCACTTACAACACTCTGTAGATGCTCCCAAAATGCTTGCTGAATGAATGAATGAATACTTGCCTTTTATTAAACACTTATATGTCCCAGGGACTTTATTCACAGACTGGCTCACCAATTCTCTCAGTGTCACAGGTAAGTGTTACCCTCCACAGTTTACAATTGAGATAGGGACAGAAAGCCCAAGGTAGACAGGCTAGGATTCCAGCCCAGTCCCATCTGACACCTCTTCATTGCACCCACTGCTGCTTTCCTTGTAGAGCAGGAAGGGAACTGTCAGATTTGAAAAGGTGGCCTCAAGTTGTTGAGAGAGGGTCAAAGAGAAAACAGAAGAGTCTGTCGATAGATAGGAGGGGCCTGTAAACGTTCAAAACAAACACTTGTTCATTAAGAAACTGGCCATTGAAACCCAGGTGGAAAACCTATAGAAGAGCCAGTTCTACGGCTCTTAAAAAACCCGACAGGTTGATTCCTGGGGGTGGGGAGAGGAGGGACTGGAAAGATCTTACTCTCAGGCCTGGTTCTGTTGGGCAGGTGACAATACCACGCACACAAGGGTATTAAGGTTGTCCTCAGATGAAACGGTAGCCATTATTTTACATTTTGCCTATTGTTTTTATTACCTACTAGATCAGTAATAACGCTAACAGTAGCTACCATGTAGATACTACAGTATAGATGGGGTGGAGGGGCTGTGCAAAGTGCTTTATATACAATGCATGATGTCCATTAATCCTCACAACAACCCTATGAGTAGATTTTATTGTTCGTAGAGATGAGGTAACTGCCCAGGGAGATGCGCTTTCCCGAGAGTTCTCAGTGTTTCAGTGGTCGATCTAAAACCTGAGTCTGTTTAACTAAAAGCCCTGAAATAACATTGAGCTGTGGGGCCTTGCGCGGCTTTGGTGCGGGCGGGGGTGGGGGCCGGCGGGGAGAGCGTTGTGAATCCTATTTATTCATGCAAAGCTGCGCACGTGTGTGTAATTTACAAAAAACAAATCCAGGTCGGGATATCTGTCCTCCAGAGGTTTAAAAGCCTACGTGGGTGGAGAGCGGCCCAAATCTCTACTCGCGCATTCACTCTCTCGCTCCCTCAAGAAGTATTTATTGCGCACTTGGGTATTCCAGGCAGGGCGCTAATCTAGCTCCAGGAGGGAGAATGATAAACACGAGAGACTTGGTGTTTGTTCCCCGAACCCGATTTCACTTTCTCGTGGGCGAGGCATTCGGATTCAGAGAAGCAGGAAATGTATCAACCCAGGTT